TTTCTTCTGTATCTGAGAGACCTGGCGAAGAGGTGGAGTGACGTCTTTTGTTGGTTTGATTTATGTATTCCATGGTCAGGCAGATGTTAAGCTGGGACAAGAGTTGTAAGCCGTCTTCCTTGTCGGAGACTCTATATGGTTTTCCTTTAAAGGTGAATTGCAGTACGAGTGGGGATTGCCAGGTGTATTTAAGGTCAGCTTCGCGCAGATTGGTGGTGATTTGTTTCAGCTCCCGCCGTTTTTGTAAAGCTTCCCTGGGGAGATCCGGGTAAACTTCGATATGTTGGGTAAGATAATCCAAGTAGCCTTCTTTACGAGCATGGGCTAGTACTTTTTTCCGGAATCTGGCGTCCAAGAGGGTGATCATGATGTCTCGTGAGGGTCACGTTTTTAGCAGGGAGGTGGGTCCCAATCGGAAAGCCTTGGTGATCAGAGGAGACTGGTCGCCTTCAACGCCCACTAATTGTGCTAGCCAGGTGGATAAATGAAATGCCAGGTCACCATCTTTTTCAACTTTCTCCCCCAGTCCTCTCAGTTTTAAGTTGTTCTGGCGAAGAGACAGATCAAGCTTCATTGTTTTCTCCGCCAAAATCTCTTCCGTATGTTGCATTTGCTGTATGTTGTTTTGATTAGAGATACTATTTTGGATCGCCATTTCTGCAGTATGATTGGTTTTAGTTATGTTCTGTTCGGCAGTTTCAAGACGGTCATAAAGGGGTTTAAACATTGAATTCACGTGAGTGGAGAAACTATGCTCCATAGACATTAGAGCTTCTTTAAGATCAGCGGCAGTTATAGGCGCGATTTTGTCCGCCTCAGAAGTTGCGGCCGCCATTTTGTGCGGAGAGCGTTCTTCGGGGCCCAGGTTTTTGGCGGGGTTCGGGGATTCTGACCTGTTTTTTTCTTTCTTTTGTTTCTTCACCGATGGTTGTGTGTTCTTCAGGGCGTCTTTCTCCATGGGATTGACAGTTTTTCGTTGCTGGTAAGATAGGTATCGGGGTTGGTGGGCTTCGGGTTCGGCGGAGCCGAGGGTTTAGGCAGCCATTTCCCTTGGTCCCGCCCCGGAAGTCCCCTTTCTGAATTGATTTTGAGGACAGAGCAACAAAGTCTGAGTCCAGTGGTGCCTTAAAGACAAAGTTTTATTCTGGGTATCAGCTGTACCTCTCAAACACTTCTCTTCGAAGACGCCTCCCCCACAAAGACTGAATCCTTACGACTATCTTGCAAGGTGAGCTAGCCTGAAAATGTGACTGGCTAAAAGGCACCGCCAGATCTTCCAGGCCTACTGTGGATCTGAACCCAGAACCACCAAGCCACAGCCCAACACTCTGGCTCTTGAACTTAACTGACCCACATCATGAATTGGGTTGGGTTCACTCATGCGGATCAGCTGTGGCCCCAGGTGTGAATCTCAATCGTCTGGAAGAGGATTTCTTATTTAGAACTTTCTATGCAATTGAAAAAAGACATGCCACACTGACCTTTGACACATTTAATGAAGCCCAACTCAGTAAGAAAAACCCCACAAAGCCCATTATTATAACTATTTCGCATACGGCAGAGTTACCAGGAAGCATATCATAATATAAAATACATAATCAAGTTGATACAATGGGTATGCAGACTAATTGGGCAATCCCCCTAAATACAAATCCCTAATTTTTCAATCCACTCAATCACAGCTGGGGAGAGTTCGAAGAGCCCACAAAGCACAGAACACACAAAGTCTAATCACCTGATACAAACAATAATATCTTTAATGAGCTCTGACTCTTCCTTAGCTGAGTATTGTTTTCTCTGAGCCATAAAGAAACACTTAATCTAAGGATGCCAACTGCCTGGAGGGGAAAACTGCCGTCCCTTTAACAAAGGCTTTACGGGATGCTATCTATCTCTTTGGATACCCATTTCCACGCACATTAAGACTCTGGGAATGAGGAAGGGTATTTTTTCTCCCCTTCAGGCCTGTTACCAACTCTAATGCAGAGACCTCTCCAAAATAAAGTAAGGAGACAGAAAGAGAATTTTGGCAGTTGGCACCATTAAAGTGTGATCTCAATGGAGGAATTCAAGGGGGGGGGCTCTGAGGAGGAAGACGTGGGGGGAGGACGCCTTGGCCCAGGGCTCAGTCCAGGTCATTTCCAGCTTAGGGAGGGGGGGTGTTCAGTGCAGGAGGAGGGAATCCTACTTCTCCCTCCTGATTCTCTCTGTGAGAATCTGGGGGTAGGGAGGATAACTTGGATTGGGGAATTCATGCCCCACAAGGTTCACCTGCCAACACCATGGATACTGGTCCATGTCCACAACCCTAGCTGTTGTGGGGGGAGGGTGTCTAACCCCTTAGAAATTACTGAGTTGTTGGGTTAGGGGACACCACCTTTCCCTTTGAACCCAAATTAATCCTACTGTGAGGAGGATTTGGGCTTCAAAGTGGTGAGACCCCCAACAACCTCAAAACAGGCTGGATTGGGGAGGGATGAGTGTTGATTATTTATTTATTTATTTCATTCAGCTTCTATACCGCTCCTTCCTGAAGGCTCGGAGCGGTTTACAGAGAAGTAATTTTAATGTTTCTAACTATGGCCACACAGTACAGGGGGAAATGAATGCCTACCAGGCACCCGAGCTGGTGTGTGTCGATGGTGGGTTCTTCCTCAGTCGATGGTGTCTCAGCGAGATCTTCCGGTAGAGACTCCTTCTGGGCGGACCTTCATGGTGCATGGCTCTGCAACAGTCGCAGCACTGGTCTCTGTCCTTATTGGCTCTGACCGTGCTGCGTCGCTGCGTCGCCATGCCTCCTCTCCGCCTGGGTTGTTTTTCGTACAACTTTTTGCCATATCGCCGTTCATCCATCACCTGTTGAGAAATACCTCTCTAGAACTGCTTGTCAGATGAAAATGTTTGTGAATTAAAGATACCAGCTGGTCATACTATAGTTACACCTGTAGGAAAGAGATTGTACGTATCCATTACCCTCTAAACTTGTCTATTGCTTCATACAATTTGGGAAAGGAACTGTTTTTGCTAGTTTTGAAGATGTCAGAGTTAGAATGGCAGATAACCAAAAGTAGCAAGTTTAAAAGAAGAGGGGGGAAACAAAAGAGGCCTTTCTTTGTGTAACAACCTTCTCAACCTGTATGAAATTCCAGCACCAGGGCCAGCTATAGGAAAGTTTCACCCTTCAATGCATTCTTTGAGGAGGATGAAGATCAGACCTCTGCCTCAAGCTCTTCCCACACATTGAGCATTCAGAAGGTTCCTTCCCTGGGAGGAGTCCTCGATGTTAAAGGAGAGAGCAGCTGATTCTTCTTGCAGCAGAAGCCATTGCCCATCCTTACTTTCTTCCCTTTGAGATATTTTTGAGGTTTTGAACACGGTGAAAGCTCTTTCCACACTGTATTTATAACATTTCTTCCCGGGCAGCGTATGGTTTCAGTGTACATTCAAGCTTCTTACATCAATTTATACCTTTTCAATACTTTATATGATCTGTTGTTGTCTTTTAGCTGTGAAATAGGAGAAACGTTCTTTTCACGACTAAGCAGTTACATCATTTCTCCTAGTATGGGATCCTTGAAGGAGTAGAAAAGTGTCACTCTGAATGAATCTCTTTCCACGCTTTGAGCATTCAAAAGGTTTCTCCTCTGTGTGGCTACTTTAATGCAGTAGAAGATTGACACTGGTACTGAATATCTTTTCACACCCTGAGCTGTCAAAAGGTTTCTCCCCTGTGTGGGTTCTCTGATGCAGTTGAAGATGGCCACTCCGACTGAATCTCTTTCCACATTCTGAGCATCTAAGAGGTTTCTCCCCTGTGTGGGTTTTTCGATGTTGATGAAGAGAGCCACTGTTACTGAATCTCTTTCCACACTCTGGGCATTCAAAAGGTTTCTCCCCTGTGTGGGTTCTCTGATGCAGTTGAAGATGGCCACTCCGACTGAATCTCTTTCCACACTCGGAGCATTCAAAAGGTCTCTCCCCTGTGTGGGTTTTATGGTGCTTCTGAAGAGAGCCACTATCAGTGAATCTCTTTCCACAGTCCAAGCATTCAAAAGGTCTCTGGTTCTCTGATGCCATTTAAGATAGCTACTATGACTGAATCTCTTTCCACACTCTGAGCATTCAAAAGGTCTCTCCCCTGTGTGGATTTTATGATGCTTCCAGAGAGTGCTACTATTAGTGAATCTCTTTCCACACTCTGAGCATTCAAAAGGTCTCTCCCCTGTGTGGGTTCTGTGATGCTGTTGAAGATGGCCCCTCTGACTGAATCTCTTTCTGCACTCTGAGCATTCAAAAGGTTTCTCCCCTGTGTGGGTTCTAAAATGCGTCTGAAGATGGGAACTCTGAATGAATCTCTTTCCACACTCTGAGCATTCAAAAGGTTTCTCCCCTGTGTGGGTTGTCTGATGCTGTTGAAGGTGGGCAATCCGATTGAATCTCTTTCCACACTCGGAGCATTCAAAACGTTTCTCCCCTGTGTGGGTTCTCTGATGCAGTTGAAGTTTGTCACTCTGACTGAATCTCTTTCCGCACTCTGGGCATTCAAAAGGTTTCTCCCCTGTGTGGGTACTCTGATGCAGTTGAAGATTGCCATTCAAACTGAATCTCTTTCCACACTCCGAGCATTCCAAAGGTTTCTTCCCCATGTGCGTTCTTCGATGCAGTTGAAGACTGTCACTCTGCTTGAACCTCTTTCTGCATGCTGAACATTTGTAAGGTTTATTCTCTGTGGGGATAGTCAGATGCTTTTGAAGATTCCCACTCACACTGCATCTCTGTCCACACTCTGAACATTCAAAAGGTTTCTCCCCTGCGTGGGTTCTCTGATGCCATTTAAGATTCCCACCCACACTGAATCTCTTTCCACACTCTGAGCATTCAAAAGGTTTCTTGGCTCTCTGTATTCTTTGGTGTATCAAGAGTTGTGATCTGTTTCTGAAGTACTTTTCACTCCGAATGGATTTAGTTGCCTTTATTATTCTGTGCTTTGTAATATGTACATTATGACCTCTTCCATCTCTCTTCTCAGCCACATGACCGACTGTCTTTCTCACTGGTCTGTCTCGATTCCTGACATTTTCTTTCAAGTCTACATTTTTAACTTTATCTGACACATGCTGATGAACTTCATTCCTCTGATCATCCTCTGCTGGAGTAAAGACAGAGATCCTGTTAGCACCTGGGAGGGCGGTAAGGTCCAAAGGCAACTATGTGACTGAAGTAGGAAAAGATAGACAACGGCCCTTTGGTGGCCAACTTTGCTGATCTTAACCATCCCCAGAATATCTAGTGTTTAAGAATTCCTCACCCCCTCGAGTGCCACAGCTGAGCTCTTGCCCACAAGAACCTTCTGAGCCTCCAGATTTCAGGCCCTCCTTCCTTTCCCAGTGTGTTGCATGATTGTACGAAACATTACTCAGAAGTGAACCAGAAATCTCCCATGGAACTTCCTTGCCTTTTCCCTTGACATAACTGTGAAGAATACTCACTCTCAGCCCGCTCATTTGGGAAGGAAATATGTTCCTGTGATCCTCTTGAGGAAATCCTCAGCCTTTCTTCGGATGCAAGGCCGTTCTCGATCACCATCGTAATGTCTCTTATACTCCTGCCTTCGTCCACAGAGGAAAAGAGAGAAAGAGAGAGAAAGTGATCATTCTAATATGGGGAAGGAAAGAAAGTCAAGAGGAAAAACTCTTCTGGAAGGATGAAACCATTGTCAAGATCAAAGTCCACAATGCCAACCAGTATAAGGGGAATAGATCTGTGAGGCAAAGTATCCTAGTTCCCCCAAGGGTTTACGTGATTCTTAAGTGGCCTACTCTGAGTTGCAGGTGTTTGTGACTTGAGTCTTCCTGCAGCTAACATCCTTAACTTTTTCAAGGCTGGACTCAAGAATGCAGTCATTGGTTAATAGTAATTGGCTAATCATGAGAACCAGTATCCAGCAGGGTAACCAGGAGGGAGGGGGTATATTAGGAGGGTGCTGACAGCCTCTGGAAAATCCCACCAGGGAGGACCTTTGATTGGGTCGTTAGGATCACCTGACCCTAGAAGGTAGAAAATATAATACACATATAGACAAGAGGGAAGCCAGGCTAACTTAATGCTCATGCCATGCTAGTATGTCTTGATATTTTCTTTCTGCATCATGATGAATAGTTTTCTGTAGCGCGACTTGGGCTACAGCTGGAAAACTGAGGCTGTAGAAGAGGTGCCACCTAATACCACATATTTCATGTATTAGATAGAACAGTTAGCTTTCCTTGTTTTTCTGTGGCTGAGCTGCAGAATCTTTCCAGCTTTGTGATGTTTTATTTTTAATTCCTTAACAGTATGCATTTAAAAATGGGGTCTGCTTTACTTGTGTGCTCTCTTCTCATGAACCCACTGAACTGAGTGCTGCTCAGGTACAAAGAGACTAGACTTGGCTCTACGCATATATCTTTACTGCTGTATGCTGATGACGCAGTCCTTTTGTCACTGACTCATTTGGGGTTAAAGCATTTACTTGATCGCTGCTATGAATACTGTGCTGCCAACTACCTGGAGTTAAATTATGAGAAGTCCAAAGTAGTGGTCTTTTCCAACTCCTGGAAGGTTCATGACTGGAAAAATCAATGGTCATTCCTTGGAACAGGTCAAGGTCTTTAAATATCTTGGTGTTCATTTTCAATACAACGCCTCTTGGCGTATATGGTTTGCAAGGGTTACATGCCAGTGAACAAGCTCCTACAAGACAATGACTCAGCCCTAACCCACCTTCTGGGGTAGACATAAATTGACTGCCTACCATTTTCTTCTCACCTTGACACAGAGAGTACTCCATCTTTCTGTGTTTATACCTCTGAGGATGCCAGTTACAGCTACTGGTGAAACATCAGGTTCTACAATGCCAAGACCACGGCCATATAACCCGGAAAATCTACAGCAACTACTGCATTAATTAGTTTGCTCTGGAGCCATCCTTCCTGAGCTAAGACAAAAATGTGTGAGCCGGAGGCTAAAAAACTGTGAGCTAGCTCACACTAACTCAGCTTAGAGGGAACACTGCCTGTGAGGTAGGTGGGGCTGAGAGAGCTCTGACAGAAACTGCTGTTTTTCCAGAACACGTCTGACAGAGCTATGGCTTGCCCAAGGTCATCCAACAGCTGCAAGTGAAGGAGTGGGGAATCAAACCTAGTTATCCCAGATTAGAGTCCGTGCACTTAACCACTACGCCAAACTGGCATAGGAAGTACTTCAACCCCCAAAGAGTGGTTAACACATGGAATTCACTGCCACATGAGGTGGTGGCAGCTACAAGCTTGGATGGCTTCAAGAAGAAATTGTATAAAGATATGGAGCAGAGGTCCATCAGTGGCTATTAGCCACATTGTATAGATAAGAACTCTCGGACTGGGGCCAGTGATAATCTGTATTCTTGATGCTTGGGGGCACAGGAAACAGTGGGAGGGCTTCTATTGTCCTGGCCCCACTGGTAGAGATGTAAAATTTCCGGAAATTTTGAAGCCCGGGAATAAACCCAGTTTTTTTCCAGTTTTTTTCGGGGGGAAATGGAAATTTTCAGAAAAACTGAAAAAATGCTACATTAGCATTTCTTTTGTCTTTTCTAGATTGAAAGTCACTCTGTTACTTTAGGAACATAAAATATGACTATGGACATTTTTACTTGGCATGAAATGATCACAACTAGCATATAGTGTATCCAAACAATTATTACAAACAGAATACCCACCCACATGCAAAAACAAAACTGAAACCTTTTTATTTTCTTCTTGGAGAGTTCAGTTTGTAACCTAGGACTTGCTTGTCCTCAGTACACAGAAATTAGATCAATCTGATACCATATATAAGAAATGATTTGTTAAAATATTTGGAAAATATTTGAACCCCTTGTCTTAAAATATTTTATTCATCATGTTAAAATAAAACGTTCCATAATTTAAAAAAATCTTTTCTTTTTTCAACTTTTCCAATTTTTTGGAAAAAAAACAAAAAAGGCTTCAGGAAAAAAAAGGGGGGGAAACGGTTTTTTCCCGAATTTGTCCGGGCCTTCACATCTCTACCCACTGGTGGACCTCCAGATGGCACCTGGTATTTCTGGCCACTATGTGACAGGGTGTTGGACTGGATGGGCCATTGGCCTGATCCAACATTGGCTCCTCTTATGTTTTGATTGACCCAGGGGGACCCAGGCTTTGGTTTGTGACAGGATCGTTGCCAGATCATTTGTAGAGCGGATGTCTGTGATCCCATTCAGGGGGAAGGGAGTGTTGTAAAGGCTGGCAATAGAGAAATGAGGATCTGTCCCCTTCCAGAGTCTTTCTGAGGGCTTCTCATCCCGACCTTTGCCCCAGGCCAGGACACCTTCTCTGGCTTGGGTGATGGCCACAACACTGGCCTCTGTTGCCCCTGGGCAAGAACACACCCAGGAACACATGAAGCTGCCTCCTACTGAATCAGAACCTTCGTCCATTGAAGTCAGGATTGTCTACTCAGTCCAGCAGGGGCTCTCCAGGGTCTCAGGCAGAAGTCTTTCACATCACTGCCTACCTGATCCTTTTTACTAGAAATGCTGGAGATTGAACCTGGGACCTTCTACATGCCAAGCAGATGTTCTGCTAGGGAGCCACAGCCCCCCCCCCCCCCCGGAGC